TCGCGCCGCCGCGGCTCCGCTCCCCGGCCGGGTTAGGCGGCCTGAGTGCCTCAATCTCGCCCGTGCTACGAGACAACGCTCGGGCAATTACTCTCCTTTTGGTCAGCAGGGAGAAAAGAGTACGGTTTGCGCGAGACGTCCTGTTAGCAACATCTCACGCCGGGGCGAGCAGAGGTGGTGACGGGAGCGGACGGCTCCGGTAACGCCGTGCCTGCTCCTTCCTCTCCCAAGAGCCGGGATGCAGGTGCAACGCGCACCCGCGCGCGGCAGGGAGTAGGGGACATGACGTTGCTGTCAGGTCTGTGCAAAGAGCCTTTCTGCAGGGGAAAGGGGGAGAAAAAATAAAAAAGAAAGGGGGGGGGGAAAAAAAGCAGCGCTCAAAAGCACTACCCCAATATACCCAGGTGCCCAGGCCCTCAAACCGCAAGGGCTGTTTCTGAGCTGGAGGATGACTTCCACCGTGCCAGCTCAGCAAAGCAGGCCACCGCTCGGACAGCCGCGCCAACGCGGCAGCCCCGGGCCGAGGAAGTCGCCTTCTCTCTAGCTCCTTTCCAGGCTCGGACACAGTTATCCAAAGAACATTTGCCGGACAGAGCAACGGCAGCTCGATGGATCAAAGGATTTTGCGAGCGCAGCTAAGCCGTGCCTAACGATCCCTCCACGCAGAGACAGACAGACAGACACAGACGCACGCGGTCTTCCACGCAAAACCTGGATCTTAGCGTGCTAAGGTATTCCCTCGGACGCATCGCCTCGAGTTTCTGTAGTTGCTCTGGTTTTACATCACTTACCACGCGGGGCTGGCTGCAGTAGAAGATCAGGAGAAAGAAAAAGAGGAGTTTGGTTCTCCAGCCCTACCCTTCGGGCAGCCCTGGGGCGCCTGGCTTCAGAAGTGCCCGCCGTCCCCGGGTTCCCCCAGGCAGGCTTTCTCACCCTTACCATTTTCTGCAAAGGTCACGCTACTTAATCCAAAGAGAGCTTCCAAAACAGACAAAAGCAAGTCGCTAAACAAAAGGCAATTGAGAAGCAAGATCAATTTCTGAGATTAGCCATGCAACTCTGAATTACGGCGCTGCCCAGCCAGTTTAAACTGTGAGCAGCACAGCTCCCACTACAAAAGCTGACCTTTAAGTATTTCACTGCACACAAATAGGAAACCAGATTGTTTCCAGGACAAATTTGAAAAAAAAAAAAAAAAGTTATTAAGTACTCTGCAAATTAACTGCAGCCCCAGTGTTAAGAAATACTCTTTCAAAGCGAAAAGCCAGCAGGATTTGCTTAGGAATTGGCTTTCTCTACAACAAGCTGGCTACACCGGATCCTAGGCGGCACCTAGAACATTTGTACTTGTCTTCCTGACAGCTCGAGGCCTGCAAAGGTCAGGCTGCAACAGCAGGTTCGAGGCTGTCTCCCGCCCCATCAAAGATCCCAGCACTTCCATCAGTAACAGGGCGAATTAACTCTCTTTGTAGTATTTTCCAAAATGCAGACTCCAAGAAGCATTCAGAGGTATGGCTCCGCGTAGAGCCAATAAACCTGTTCTAGTTACCTTCGGTAGGCCCCTTCAAAGCAGTTCTTGGGCCACAAGTGGAAAACGCTACCCAAGAAGAGCGCACTGTATCTGGCACGAGGATCCCCTGGGCTGTTTAACACCCAAGGCAAGGGCTGCTCTTAGCTCGCACCCAAAGCCCAGCCGGGCACAGAACCTGCAGCGCTTCACGGGAAGCATATTTTTGGATGGCACAGCTCTGAACTGCTGGGTTGCAAAGTACGCCAGAAAAAAAAGTAATTCTCACTGATCCAGGCCTGCGCAGCAGTGCTGGAGACTGTTGCCAATTAAGGAAAAAGTCCTGCATTGAGCCACATGGAATTTGCTGCTGGCTTGGGTTTAGCTACGCTTAGAAAGGCAGCGTTCGTCTACAGGGCTACGAGAACAGCAGCTCGTCTTCTGAGCTCTGCTCTCTTGACCGAATCACTGACCACAGCAGCGTGTCCTTCGGGTCCGCTGGACAGCCCGGACAACACTTGCCCGGCTAGAGCTGCGAGCAAACTTCACACCAGTGCTCTCCTTCGCTGCTTGTACTGAACAGTTAGCAAGCTCCAGTTGCCAGCTTTATTTTAAGATCCATCAGATGGAGTTTTCCATCTGGTACTACTGATACAAGAGGAAAGCCCATTCAGCAATAAATAATACTTACAGCAAGACAAAAGACCCTCCGTTCATGAGGCATATCCAATTTGAACCTGGGGTCCTATCAGCTGAAGGGATACAATCCCAGGGTGAACTAGCAGCTGATACTAGTAGCTTCTTCCCCAAACTTCATTCACTCACCATTTCCTATGATTTCACAGATTCCTGGTAATTAAATCACCACCAGGAATTGCAACGACAGATATCTTCTTAGTAAAAAAAGCCGCAAAGAAATAGAAGTTAAAATTAAGGCCTGACTTAGGCACAGAGGCCTTGGACTGAGATTCTCTTCCAGCTAAAGCAATGCCCAGACGCTTTCTGCTTGGCAAGCCAGGCAGGGTCATGCTGCCGGGCTCACGCCTGCTCACACCGGGGAAGCAGGAAAAACGGAGCTTATGTTGCTTTGCCTAGATTTTGTTACAGCTACGATGATGCTACTAGCCTAGCCCTGCAGTTAGTGCTCCAAGGGAAGAGCAGCCCCAACTGGTTGAGGCCTGACTGTCTCTCTTGGACGGGGAAATGGGGAACGGCTGGCTGAAAACCAAACAGGCACATAGCAGCATCCAGTAGGCGCTACACTGTAGGGACAAAAGCTAAAAGCTACAAATTAAACAGATCCCCAGGCAGACTGCCTACGCACCACTTACAACGCCAAAGCGGGATTTTGGGAGGAACCTCCAGGCAGCTTTTATGCCCCTCTGAATTTCTGCCTTCGAGGAGGACAGCCTACACAGCTCCCAGAAACGGAGCAGATCCTACTCAGGCTCATGCATCAACTGAGTATCGACTACATTTAAGTGGGACAACCACCGTCAGCCACGCACAAAGCCAGGAAACCATTTCCTTCTGCCCTCGGACCTCGCAGGCTACATCCTCTCTCAACTTGTTCTCCTCTGCTAGTGCTGCGACTTACTGAACGGTGTCATAACTGCGCTCCCAAAACACAGCTCCCTTTTCACGCCAGGGATGCCCCACTGCAGCCACCTGGAGATGGCCATCTCGGGCTTTTGTGCACGCACTGCTTCCCCTTCAAAAGGGAACTGCATCCACTCGGTGCGGGACTGCTGGTCTAGTTCAGACAGAACGCAGTGCCGCATATTGGCCAGAAAAGCAGGGTTAAGAAAGGCTTTCTTTATCCTTTCCTCTCCTCAACCACTGCCTGAGAGTACGCTACAAATTAGAGGGTCTTGTTATAAGTGTCCTTGCTGCTCCCTTCCAGTGCTGACACTGCTTGCAGGCTTCGGGAACTTGTTTCCTCTCCTGTATGTGGGTACACAACCATCATCTTCCCATCTCTTCCCTTTGCAAGATCCCAGATATGGGGCTTGCTCCAAAGTCTGCTGGCTCCCGAGACTCAGGTCAAAAGCCCAGACTTCAGGATGGGGCAGTTTCCCCCACTATCCACCAAGCTGGGGCAACAAAAAGCCATTATTCCTTCTCTATTGCTCCCAGTTCAGGTAATCCAGTATGAAACTTAAAGAGTTCAAAGTATACTTTTGCCTATAAAGGGACTGTACCACAAGCAATAAAAACATACGCCCAGCCTCAGCTGCAGGGGTTTCTGGAAGCAAAGCGCTCTTTGGTTGGATTACCTGTCCTTCAGGGCCACGGCAGCACTGCTCTCGCAGCAAGCTCCTGCGCTCCAGCCAGGATAAACAAGTTCATTTGGGGGAGGACTCTTCCCACCCCCATCCACCCCTAGATGGGTTCCAGCAGCATGAAGGCCCGGTGTCCCTGTGCTGGTAGCTGGACAAGTAATCAAGTTCATTTACATGCACCATATATTCTGATCGGCTGTTTCAGTTGTGCAAGGTTAGTAATCATTACTGTTGCTCTACGCTAAGTTAGAAGCATGCCTCTTAAGAGCACTCACAGGACCAGGGTCAACAACCCTTGGAAAGCACCAGCAAGGTGACAGAGCTCAGCCGCCGCGACCTATTCTAGGCTAGAAGGATGGCAGTGTACTACAGAGATCAAAATTTAAGCATGTTTAGAGTGCTGAGTTGAAGCACTTTCAGATTAGGATTTCAAGTCCTAGGCGCCACACACTTCTCCTGCGCAACACACATGCATCTTTCATCCAAAGGCGCTGCAATCTCCACCTCTCTATTTGTAACGGGAACGCATCCCAAAGCTTCCTTGTCATGATCACTGGCAGTTGCTCAGACTTGGAAAAAGGGGGCAGTTAACCGATTTAAAGATCCTGCAGCAAGCCAGGAGCAAAGGCAGGGCACCGTCACAGCTAAGCGCTGCACCATACAACAGCGGGCACGCCAAGAGCCGCTCTCTTGGGCGGCACGAGCCCCGCATAGAGGCACCTCCTGTCCTCCCCCAGCCAGCGGGGCCCTGAAGAGGGCAGCAAGAGATGCTCGCGCTCTCGCCAACACAAACCCTCTCGACTGCTTTGCATTGCCAGCAGATGCAATTGTTTCCATCCACTGGAGGAACGGGTTCAATTGCAACGGCAAATTAATTGGAGGACAACCATGACCTGAGCAATAGGGTTTTGCCATAATACGCGTTCGCCGTGACAGCCAGAGGGGGGCAGAACTGCACTGCTGCTGCCAGTCGGGTAGAGCTCCCGCTCCAAACCCAAATTTAGAGTGATCATTACTAAGGAAACTTAAGACCTTTCCCCCTTACTGGTGAAGCGTTCTACCTACAAAGCTGTGAAAGAGAGAGGAGCTCAAGCAATGCAGCACTAACTGCTCTCAAAGCCCTCACCCAGTTTGTCTGTGGATGAGATAATATCGGCTGGAACGGACGAGTCCAGATCTGCATCCAAGATGCCCAGTGGGTCGAGTTGTGCTACATGATGCCCTCGAATCTATGAAATGGGCCAGGAATGGACAGGAGAACAGATACCAAAGAGGGATGGGGGGAAAGAGGAGAAAAAACAAAAGAGGGAAGGGGTAAAAAAGTTAAATTACATTAGAATTAATTTGCAGAGTAATTCTCACCGACGTTTGGAGAAACAGTTACTGGCGCATCATCAAAATTTACACAACTAATGCCGAGAGGATCAAGTTTTGCAATGTGATGACCCCTGACCTGGAAGCAACAACATAGATTAGTTATTAAAACAAGTTAATTGAAGATACATTTGTAAAGAAAAAACAAACAAACAAATGCATGTTTTCCCTCTGCATGATCCTGCAGAGCCACTGGACAGAAGAGACCCAGCCCATCTACGCAGCCCATCGATTTTGCCACGAGCTAGCTATTAACCCCAAGTTCTGGCTGAAAATAAAGCCTGGAGAAGCTGCTTACGCGACGTCTGCACATGCTGGGAAGAAGCCAACATGCACGAGGGCTCTGCAAGACGATATGGTTTTCAGCCACGTAACCTGCATCCTTCGACCAGCCCCCTCTGCTTTCCGGGACTCCGGGGATGCTTCCTTTCCTGGTACCCACGTACGCGCTCCCCTAAGCCGCTGCTACGTTGCGGGATGTCTAGAGCAGAGCTTGCACAATCCCCAGAGCAATCTCAGCAGCATTCCCATGAACAGGGCAAGGGGCGCTCATGCCTGGGGGCAGATCTGTGGCCCCAGCAAGGCTCCAGGCTTTATGACCGTCGTATAGCAGGAAGACGGTCCAGTCCACTGTACGTGCTGAGGTTTGGTACCTGCACGGTGCCTTCTCACTCCCACAAAGAGTTTGTTTTCTGTTCAGCAGTTCCCAGCACGCAGGTCTGAGCGCTGCCAGTCATAGCATCTGCTGGTGCTCGGTCTGAGGCAAGGCGATCTGGGTGCTGCCCACAGCCACCACTTTCCTTCCAGTGAGATGTACGATGCCACATGGGAAGTGAGTTGTTTGTCTTGTGCTCGTGCTCAGTAGCTGTGTTTAACCTAAAAAACCTCCCCTCTTTGCCTGCTTCTCAGCTGCTCCTGAAACCTCTGCGTCAGCAGCTTTTACTTTCAACGTCTACTGCTACCCTCCAAGCAGGGCTCTGTTTCCTAAGTTACAGGTGCCTGAACCTAGGGAGGTCACTTGCTTCTTTCATTGCTGTGAGCCGATTTCGATTCAGACCTCGCCTTTTTTTTTTTTTTTCAGTAGTCTGAAGAGACATCTCCCTTCCACAACGGCGGACATCTCACTGTGCAAGACTTGCTTTATCTCAATGGCCCGCGCTCTCACATTGGCAAGCCACGGTTTATTTCTTGACTAGCTCCTGTTCTGGAAGCTTTGGGCTCAGCTATCCTTTCCAGTAGGTCAGGACGCACTGTCTGTTACTATGGTATAGGCATACGGTACGGAAAATATGGTATATTTTCTTTAAGCTCTGAAAAGCTAAACGCTGAATTATGCTCTTAGCCATCAAGACAGTTACCCAGTTATAACAATCTCTTGCATCCTACATCTCTTTTATAAAACAGGTATACTGATCTGACCTTATTTACCAGAAAAAGCTACAGATCCCACCGATGTGCATGGCAGTTGCACGTGGCATTCCTATTCCTAAAGTATCCCAATAGGGTTTTAGAAAAGGATTTTTGTGGTTTTGCCAGCTGAAACGCCTGAAATCCGCCATTAACTTCAAGGGAAATTGCTACGAATGAACCGGATGCCACATGATCTCTGCAAAGCTAGACAGCGTGCCCCTAAGCACCGCTCGCCGCATGGAAAGTGCTTTCTCTGGGCCAGCTTTGTCTGGGAACTCTTTGCTTGTATAACCATCCGGCTCGCAACCAAGCACGAGGGCTATCCTGTAATTTAGCTATAGGCAAGACGGGAGCTCGCTACGCTCAAGCCCTCAGGTCAGGCACTCTGGGGCTCCGCGGCCGGCGCGTCGCTGTTGGGACCAGAGGCCAGTTGGGGCGGCCACGGCTGCTAAACCGCTTGAACGAGGAGTGGCACACGGTGGGGCTTGGTCGTTTTGTTTCTAGGTCGACTCAGCAGTACGTGGGTACGCAGCAAGTCCTCAAACTGATGTGGGAACGAGGAGGTGGTCTTTTCCCCAGTAGGAGCCGTGTTTCTCGCAGAAACAGCTGCAGAGCACTGACACGTCGAGCTATGTAGGCAGCCAGGAGAGCAGCAAGCGGCAGTGATCCAGCCGGGTGGGTGGCGCGACCGCCTTCGTTACGGTGACAAAAAGGCAGATTGTTTTCCCCAACTCAAAACAAGACTGCAGCAGTTATTGAAAAGGAAATAATGAATTGGACATGCGACCACTGCTGCAATTAGGAAGCAAGCCATCACCGGTGCCACTAAGAACCACAGCAGAGCAGGATCACTGCTCACCTATAATTAGAGCTCAATCCCATTTAAGAAATTAATGGCCTGGTGTTTTAATTAGGTTGCATGTCACAGGCAGGGCTTCTTACCTTCATATTCTTTCGTACCTCCACACTCTATGCTGAAATTCCCTGCCCGGACATCCCACAGCAGCTTATGAGCCAGAGTATCCACACAGGGTTATTCCACTGTAGCTACAGCGGTACAACGATACCGGTGCAGAAACGGAGGCAGATCTCTCAATACAGCCATGTTAGAAAAACAAGGCCAAGAGCGACCGCCTCCCAACACTGCCATTTCAGAGGCTGAGGAAGCGAAGGGAACGCAGAGGAGGTTGAACGTTTTGCATTCAAATTGATGACATGGAGTTGCTGCCTCCAATTGCATCAGTCGCCACTTGTTTTAACTTGGCGTCTACCCGCTTATTCCACCAACTAGGCTGCACGATACTAAAAACAGTCAGCCAGGAGAAGCCAAAGCTGACCACAGCCGGCAGGGCGATCATCTCCCATGACATCAGCCACGAGGCAAGATCTACAGCCCTCCCGAGCAGGTTCCAGCTTCAGCTTGTTCAAGAAAAGCGAAGCCGACTGCTGACTGCAGTCTTTTCCTGCGGAGATGAGCTGGGTGCGTGCGCTGCCCTTCAAGCCAGACAGCAGAGTCCAAGGCTGGGCAGACCTCTGGACTTTCCCAGTGCTGTAGTTATTGTGTTATCCTGTTGCCTAGTACATGGGATTTTTCCAATACCTGAGCAGGGTCCCAATCTGCAGCGGGTGCTTCTTTGTAGCAAGACAGTGGTTAAATATAACATCACCTCCCTGGCAGTTGGACTTGTTACCTTCCCAGCGCAGCCACCAGTAAAGCCCAGGCTGCTTGACAGACCAGAGCGTAACCAAAAACTAGAGAACGACACAGCTGTGGATACATTTAAATGCTCTCTCAAGCTAAATATTGGCCATACCATTTATGCCTGCATTGCTCCTTTAGCCAGCGGATGTTTCCTTTCTGCTAGAGACCCATTTCTCCTGAAAGGTTGATTTTGGCAGCATGGGTCTGAATGTATCAGTCAGCAGAAGGTTTTCAACACGCTTCAGGAGCTAGCAGCACCCCAGCTCTTTCCAGTTTGCAAATTGCAAGGAAGTGTTTCCTGAACTTTTATTTTAGGACATCAGAAGTTCTATCAAAAACACATTCGAAATACGGGAAACAGGACCCGCGTGCTGTCCCACACCAGTTTTGAGCTAGGCAGGAAGTGGGAAATGATAACCAACTCCACATGAGTATAACACCAGAGGCTAGTTTTCAAACACCAAACAATACCCGCATGGGAAAAGGTCTCTCCCTCTCTGCAGTTCCTGGGCTGGGGTTAAGAGCCAACTGTGCTATGATAATTGCTCTGTCTGGGTAACAATAGCTTTAATCTTCCTACTGTCGCGCAAGCATCAGCTGATGCATCCGCTCCAACAGGTCAGCAACTGCTGTCAAAAATAAGGCAGACCAGCAAGCCGGCACTTAGCCTGCAAATTTTCCATGCAAAACAGACAGATGCATCAAATGCACTAAATGGAGTGGCTTTTTTAGCGCTGGACCGAGCTACCAAAGGAGCAGGGCATCAGCAGAGCTGCTCCTGTATCCCTCTTCACTCGCTCACGGTGTGCCCAGGGCAGCGGAAAGCTGTGCTCCTTGCTCTACAGGGAGCGAGCTCCTCCCCTGCGCAGAGAGAGGCATCTTCTTACCTGATATGCCCTGATAAGAGATTGCACCGCGAGATGGTCTTCCACCAGTTTGTCTACATTGGGCTGTGCTTGAACCAGGAACTGTGCTTGTGACAGTGCAGAAAGGCTGGTACTCAGTGGAGGGGGGCTTTGGTAAGCAGTGCCTGGAGCAGCTCCAGCGTTGGCGTTGCGAAAGAAGATGTCCCATGACTAGGAAAAGGGAAAGGAAGGAGAAAAAAAAAAAGAGGTGACAAGTTCATTATACACCACCTCCTCACTCAAGGCCCCAGTGCCCTCCCATGGGATGAATGGCTGCTGCAGTCTCTCTCTGTTGCTGCAGCAGCCTTTAGAGACCAGCTGCCAGGTGGGAGGAAGAGGGAAGAAAATCCACGGGGGACAGAGCTGCCTCCTCCCCACCTGCACCCAAACACCCCATAGCTCCTGCCAAAGTCAAAGATGCACAGACCTGCCAGGAGTCAGCAAGTAGATCTACAGCCTCGTTAAGGAAAAACCTCTGCACATTAACAACAAGGTGCAGGACTAGAGGAATAAAAAAATAAAACAACCCCCCTCCAAACCCCTCTTTTCTGCGCACAGTATTCACAGGCACGAAAATAACCTGTGGTCCCAGAGAAGATAACACGACCCTCAAGGACTTCAGATTTCACTTGAGACAACTGACAAACAAACACACAAGTATGAATTTGGGCATGAAAGAATTAAAGCTCTTAGGCTATTTCGGTTGCATGGTTATTCCATTTTCCATCCATCTCCATCGCTGCTTTTGGTAGGAGACACAGTGAAGAGGACAAGTGGACACGGGCAGAACTCAGCAAGTAGCTGACCTTTTTCGTTCCCCGACTAAACCCAAAGAAACCACACATCATCATTTCTGGCCAAGTGAGGGGATGGCTTCACTAAGTGGCTGTTTGGTTAGGCTTAAAAATGTCATTCTGAGAAATTAAAAAAAAAAAAAAGTTTCCCCAGGAACTCCAATTGCATGTTTAATTCCAAAGAAACGGGTTTTAGGATCGGTAGCTTTAGACACGGATTAGCTTAGCTCCTTGATTGCATGTAGTGAGAACAGGAGAACGACTCCATTCCCCCTCCTTTCCCAAAGATCGAGGGGACCAACTAGTCGGACCCGCTGTCCACCACAGGTCCTCACATTTCACCCAGATGCCACAGACCGGAACGCAAAGACTTACTCAGACCCCACATTTGACCAAAGTCTCCAACCACCAAAACGTGGGGTAATTACTCTTTCCGATTAACAAGTCCAAGTCCGGTTTTCAGACTCTCCCATTTCCTAGCTGCAGGTTTTCATCCCTTCTCTCCAGGGCAGGAGACTGCTATTTAATACCCACAGCATTTTCTGGAAGATATTTTTATCCTGTAATTAAATACACTTCTTAATCTTTTCCATAATCTAAATGGATTGAGATCCACGTCCCAAAGTAAGCCATTTTGTCCAGCCCTGACATAGCAATGGCTTTTTTCCTGTCCTCTCTCTAATTTTTCACCAGCCTTTCAGCAACGTTGATACCAGTGTTGTATACAGTGCTCCAGTACAAGCTGTATCATGTTGTTAGTGAGGCGGCATGTCACCTCCGCACGCGTTCCCCTTTGCAGATAAGATAGCTATATGCATTATTGCACAAGGGCTGCTACACTATGTGACCCTCCCCCAAATTCCTAGGTCCTTTCTCAGATGTAGGCTCCTAGTCTCTGGGACATCTCACGTTCTTGGTTTTATGGATTGGTAGGTTCTCTTCCTCCAAGGCTCGGGCGAGAGCTTGTTTTGCAGGAGAACATCTGGGAAAACAGGTCAGAGGCATCTTTGCACGCACCTACATCCCTGCACTAAAACCACCCTCACCTCCAAAACCAGGTCAGAGTTGGCCGTGGACGCGAATCAAGCACGGGATCCTCCCGGGCGCAGCCCAAGCCGTGCAGGAACACATCCGGCGCTAAGAGCCAGAAAAGAGGAGGCAGGACTCTCCATGGCGCTCTGGCCATCTTCTTCAGACCTCGTGTCCCTGTCTGCAACCAACTGTGGTTAAACATGAGCTTTTCTGTCAACGCCACAAAAATAACCTACTTACAGCAGGGTGAAGAAAGTGATGCCTACTTTGAGCACGCTTCCCCAGGCAAAAGCTTCACACTGTAATCTTTAAAACGGCAGGAGCCCTTAGATAACAACCAAGGAAGCACTCAGCATCCGAGATTAGTGGGAGGAATAAATCATTCTGCCGTCTCCAGGATTTTAGGGGGTTTTCTTAATGGCCACCATCAAAAAGCCTCTCAGGGCTTTCAAGCATTTTTCTGTCGATGCCAGTTCAAGCTCTCGCAGCCAGTGCCCATCTATGAAAAGGCCGTTTCTTCACCCTAGCTCTTGGGTTTTTTCAGATGTTCTTCACAGAAAAGGGGAGAAGTGGCGAAGGAAAATTTAAAAAACAGCAAGAGTCACCCAGACTCTCCATCCTGATTTTGCAGGCGAGACTATTTAAGAGGTTCAGGAAGCAAATGGGCATTTCTAGGTGTAGAAGAAAAAACTAGACAGAACTTGTTAACAAGAAAGCAGCTTCAACTGCGTGTTACTCATCCAGCACTGCCCAGGCAGCTCAGGAGAAGTGTCCCAGGCCAAACCCAAGTTAATATGTCTGCTTGGAGAGAAAGTACTGGATATGGGGAAGAGGAGAAAGACCAGCATGTTGAGCCACTACAGAATCAGATATGGCACAGGAAAGGGAATTTGAGCAGATATTTCAGTCAACTCCTGTTGCCAGACAAGGGGTTTGCACCTGGAGACTTCAAAGGGCTAGACGCCAGCATCTTGGCAGGCAGAGATTATCTACAGCTCTGCTTCTCCTAGCACGTGGAAACCCATTCTTGGTAAGACAAACCCAATTACACATCTATACGAGCATCGGGGTCAAGTTGTGGAAGTACTTGTCTCCGTTGCCCTTTCCTCAGTTTCTTCGCAAGTCTGGATATAAGCAGGAGGCACAGTATGGTCACTGCTCTTCCAATTTTCTCTTTGCCCTCTCCCGCTATCGCTACGCCTGCTATGCTATCACCCATTACCCGTACCACACCTGTCTTATTTTCCCCCGCAGAGCAGAGGGCAAGCCACATATTTATTCCAGGCACGCTCTCAGCCTTCACCCCTCCCTAGCTATTTCCTGCATGCCACTGAATAATGTCAAAGGACAAAGGCAACCTGCAGCAACGCGGCCCCGGAGCCGCGTGCCTGTACATACCCAAGCCGCTAGCTAGAGCAAACGAGTCCTTTCGGACTCGCTGTCATTCAGCGCCGGTTTCAGCCCTTCAGATATCCGTGGGGACCCCGCGGCATTGCAGCACCCTGCCCGTCACAGATGTGCACCTATGGGTGAAATGCAAAACACCAAAGTTATTAAGACCATTCCCACGGGGAAGGTGGGCACGGCGGCGGGCAGCTCCTGTTCACGCGCACCGACGGGGGCGGGCACCGCGTGCTGGGAGCCATCGATGGAGAGCTAAAACCCAGCCGAGCCAAGCGGTTCACTGCTCTCGGCAACCTGCGCATCCCTGCGATGCCCCGCCGAAGGGGAGCCCTATTTTGACCCCGGGATCAGGCAAATCAGCCAGACCAGCCTGGTCCTCACGTCGGTTAAGCAAAGTTCAGCAATTTTCAGCCAACATGTGCTTCTTAAAGCACAGGATGAGTTCAGTACCAAAGAAAACAACCTCTTTAGGAGGAAACAACAGCAAAGCAGAAGGAAGTGCTAAGAAATTCAGTAACACTGGTTCTTACTATTTTTGGACAAAGCACAACACTGTGGTTAGAGTCAGATATTTAGTTGGAAGTCTAGTTTCGACTGTACCACAGGCTGCTGTGGAGAATAACACCTGCCTCGGGACTGCTTTTTTGGCTGCAACACATGGAATTTGCTCATTACGTTTGCAGCGAGCTCTGAAATTCAACCTTGACGACGCAGAGAAGGGCGAAGAGCTGCATACCAAAGGACGACGGCTGTTAGCAAGGGTTGTTACAACCCGCAACAGCTCCGAGAGCTACGTGAGAAAAGTGCCGACGAGCGTGTTCTAAGCTGAGCCTTCAGAGCTGCTTCGGTGCCGGTTTGGGGGGAGAAAAGGAAGGTTTCGCCCCTTCAGCGAGTGTATTCCCAGGGACTGGTGCTCCTCTAACGGCACCGACGGCGGTCACATGCTGCAGGAAGCTATTTCCAGCCTGTCTGATTTACGCAGACGTCCCATCACATGGCTGCACACGGTGATTAAATTTAGAAGCGGCTCATAGCGAAGGAACATAAACAAAAAATCGAGAAAAAGATGCGACACCCTCGCTGATAAACAACAGCTCCCTCAAAGAACAAACAAAATGCGCCCCAACCGCGTTTCCATTGTGTTCCTCACTGGGAAAGGAAATCACAATACGAAAAGGAGGAGGGCTGGGGGCCCCCCGAGGCTGCCTTTTGTCAGATCCTCACTTCTGCTCCTTCCGATAATAAATGCAAGTTAACATCACATCGAGACGGGCCAAAGCCCACAACGCTCACGGAACAGGAGCCGTCCTCGTTTTGCCTGCTCTGCCGTTTGAGGAGGCCAGGCGCGCCCCAGAAGCGATCGGGAACGAGCTGAGCCGCTACCTGCCGAGATGGAGATGAGATGAGATGCAGCAGAAGAGCTCGGTCGATACCCGACTGCCCGGGAGCAGCGGGAGGGAAGGGAGGCCGCGCGCCAGGCTCGGCGCCCTCACGCTGGGAAGGAATCTGACTCACCGCTTGGTTTTCCAGTACATTAAACAACCTTAAACCTCCAGACAAAGACAGGCGAGGGAACGGGAGCATCTGTTACCCTAACTAGGGAGGGGAAAACGGGGGGAGAGAGACTGTGAGAGAGATTTCCTCCTCGGTTGACAGCAGCCTGGCAGCAGTGCTGGAGCCTGGAGGCCACGCGGGGACGTGGTGAAGGTGAGGAGGAAGAGCTGGCCAGCCAGGGGGGTGTCGCAGGACGAGGTAGTCCTCCTATAGGCTGAGAAAGAGGGATATTTCACACCTGGTGGGAACCACCAAACCACCAAAGGCCTCACCTGTACCTCCTGGAGGAGTCCCGCGAAGCCTGTGAAACTACCGCCCCTACAGATGGGGAAACGGGGCACAGAGAAGCCATGCAACGAGGGGGTTTTTTCAAGGCGATTTTTGCAA